GGGAGGGGAAACGCCCTTCTCCCACGGGTGGGAGGCTATTTGTAATATAATTATAGGACTGCTTCTGATGGCAAACACCTGCCTGCTTCCTGCCCTCGAGCCTTTAAGAGTGTTTGCAGGGGGTGCCTTTGCTGCGCTGGTCTCCTGGGAGCCATGGGGCTGGCATATCTCCCAGCCTTAGACCACCCGACTCTAGTCAGGCCTGGGGCGGCCTCAGGAGCTCTTTCATCCTCCAGACCTGGCACCAGCTGTGAGGTTTTTCGCAGGGCTGGGCAGCAGGTGTCAGGGAAGGGAGGCGGTGCCACCGTGGGCAGGTGCCTGCCCCCAGCTCACCTCCACCCCCTGCAGCTTCTGGCCCCTGAGGCTGTGCTGCTGCTGGGCTGTGCCCTAAGTGACTGCAGACCCAGCTGGGAGGGGTCCTGGGTGCCCAAAAGTGAAGCCCCTGGGAACTGTGGTCTCTAACCTCCTGCAGGCTTTAGAGCCCAGGGTAACCTGCTGACTTCTCCCCGCGGGGCAGAGGCCAGTAGCCCCTGTCAGGATTTGACAAAAGCCCATCTTGCACCCTCACATCTTCTAACTTGGGGAAAGGAATGCTGTCAGTCAAAGGAATTTCTGCGAAGGGGTTTGCTTTGACTTGGGACAGGGTGGTATTTTAGGGCTGATTCCTCCCCCTGATGCCAAAGACTGACCCACAAACAGACAAGGTGTCCCCTTAAAGACGCCTGGACGGAAGGATCAAAAGCCAGGTGCTGGGCTGTCCGATTCCCTCTCCTTCCTTTAAAATGAGCTCTCAACCCTGGCTGCTGGAGCTCAGACATGGGCCCCAGAGCCACTTCCCATGGCACTTCCCGCAGCGTGCCTGCCACCTCCCTCCCGGCGCCCTGTGACCTTCCCCTCTGGGCAGGCGGCCTTGCCTCCTGGCTCCCCCAGCCTCCCCGGGCAGCAGGCTGGTCAGCAGGGTGTGCTCCAGCGGGGGCGCAGAGGCAGAGGGTCCCCGGGAAGGGGTGGCAGGCAGGGAGCCGCCTTTGCCTCTGCATGCGCGCGAAGCTGGTAATTAAATGGTACATCCTAAATGACATGCAGCTCCGGCAGACTTCGGAAACCTCCTTAGAAATGTGAGGCCTTTCATTTTATCACCGTGGTATCGGGACTATGAACTAACGCTGATTGGAGAATCCATGGGCCAATAAAGTAAGAAAAGGAAAAGCAAAAATTTACTTTGGGTAAAATTCATTCTAGTTCTAGCCACTTAGGTAAGTTGCTTCCTGTTTGTGCCTAATTACCATGAATTGGGACCGAAGAGACATTGATTGGGGATTGATCGATCTAAGTTTATTTTATCAAAACCCCCCATTCTGAGCGCGTGCTCAGGCTCCCGGGGCTGTCGGGTGCGTCGCCTGCGCACTGGGAGCCGGTGTCCCCACACTTCCCAACAAGGGCAGGAACTTTGGCCCTGAGGCTGCGAGGATGGAGCCCTGTCCCCACCAGGGGAGGGACTCAGAGCCCTGAGCCTGCCCCGGGTTCCCCAGACCTGGGTTCTGGTTGGCAAAGGTGCTGTCGGACCTGGTGACAGGGACGGGGAAGGGAGAGTGGATTTGAGGTCTGTGAGTGAGGTGACCTGTTAATCTGGGGGTGAGGGAAATGGAAGAGTGGGTGGCTCTCGAGTTTAAGCTTTGGTCGTTGGGTGGATGGTCTCACTATAAATTGAGACAGAAAACAGAAGAAGTGAAGATGTTGGTTGGGTTCCGTTTTGGGTTTGTGGAGGCTGAATGCCCGTGAGACAGTTAGTGGGCGTGTCCGTCGAACAATTGGATGCCCACTGGGGAGCCTTGGGCGAGGGGTGGGGGTTAGAGACAAAGGGGTTGGCGACGACTGCGGGAGGTGAAGAGCGGCGAGCTGAGAACACGACCCTGGGGAGGCCCCGGGAGACCCCAGAGGAGACACCGAGATGTGGCCCGAGAGGACACGGAGTCTGCAGGACAGCTCACTGTCCCTAAGGTGCTCTGTAAGGGCGAGTGGTTCAACCAAAGGTGACTGAATATGTGTCATTCCCAGCAGAGCTTTTCCATTGAGCTGTACAATCTTTACAAATAAACCAGGTTCAAAAATTTCTTGCTAATTCTAAGGAAACTGATAGAAGTTTACATTCTCATTTAAGATTTATTGAGATGTTAGGAAATTACATTGGGCTCCTTGAACCTCACCAGTTTCAGTATTTGGACCTCGTTGAAACAGCACTAGGAGCTAGCCAACCCCCTGTCCTCACACCGGGGTAGTACTCCCTGGATCCCCCCTTTCTGCTGCTCCCCAAATAAGCGCACCTATGCCCTCCTCTTCATTAGGCTGCTTTTACATAAAAAAGCCATATAATCATTTTTTAAGTTCAAGTAGTACGAAAGGCTGTTCAGTGATAGGTAAATGCCCCTCCCACCCAGGCCCTAATCCTCAGTCCTCTCCTACCCTGCCCTGCAGAGCAACTCCTGTTCCCAGTGTCGTGTCTACACAACATCCTCCTGGAAATACTGGCCTGTGGGCCAGACTCAGCCAGCCCTCTGTTTCTGTAAATAAAGCTTTATTGGAATGCAGCCATGCCCACTCACACGTGGTAGCTGCTCTCCCGCTGCAACAACAGAGTTGAGTAGTTGTGACAGAGAAAGGAAGGTTTTGCCAACATGTTTGTGTGTAGACACCTGCGTGTATAGTCTTTTTTTCAACACACACGTAAGCACACTACATGCTGTTCTGCATTTTGCTTATTTCCGTTTCACACTAAATCATGGAAATTGTTCCCCATGGGCACACGCAGACTTGTCTTTTTCACATGTGTGTTTGTAATTAATCCATCCCCATTGAAGGATGTGTTAGTGCTTTACAGCTGTTAGCCTGAACAGATAACACTGCAGGGAACCTTCTTGTGCACACACCTTCCTTGCACACATGAGCTCTTCTGGGAGATATTTAAAACAGAGAGCGATTGCCTCACTGCCCCCCGGTAGTTTTTCCCCCACCCTCAATGAGAGTCATGTTCTTTTCACAATAACAGCTAAATTGCTAAAACCTTTGAGGAAATGGAGGCTAATAAGATAAAAAATAAATAAATGTGCAAGATTATTAAATTTGTATAATCTGTACAAAATTTTACAGCCCCTAATACTTACTATAGCTCCTTTGGGTGTCTGCTCACTGCTCTTATTTCTGAAGGTAGTCTGTGCATGCTACTGTAACAAAATGCCATAGACACGGTGACTTGTAAACAACAGAAATTTATTTCTCACAGTTCTGGAGGCTGGAAGTCCAAGATCAGCATGATGGGGTTCTGGGGAAAGCCCTCTCCCAGGTCCAGACTGCTGACTTCTTGCCATGTCCTCACATGGCAGAAGGGAAAGGGATCTCCCTGGCGTCTCTCCTTATAAGGGCAGTAATCCTATTCATGAGGGCTCCCCCCTCTTAACCTAATCATCTCCACGACTCCATGAAGGGAAGGGACACATCCAGCCTATAGCAGTGGGATTCACCAGGTTTTCCCCAGCGGACTTCAGACATACATCTAATCAGGATCTGAAGGTAGGAAGAAGATGGATACTCCTTTTGGTCTCAGGTGGGGCACTTGCATCTCAAAAAATCTCTGAATGACATCCACTTCTCTAGGCCTCTGCCCAAACCAAAGTACTCCCTCCCCAAATATGCTAAGCAGAGATGCAGACAATATAAAATGACATAGTGCCTATATTTTAGTAGTTTATAATTTTCCATTCTATTTGGTAAGCAACATCTCTCAAAATCAGATACAGTTAACACAGAAAACCACAAAACACCAGCATTCTACACAGTTCCATTTCCCTGTTTTTGGATTCTCAAGGCAAGACCCTGGTTTTGTGCTCCTCCGGGCCCCACATTCTGCCTGGCATGCGATAGGCCCCCTATGGCCTTTGGTTGAAGTGAACTAATTTTCTCTTAATGTTTCAACCGAATTATTCCTTTTGCCTCTTACAGAATGAAGATATTCAGATGTTGTATTCAGTACCCCCTGCAGCAGAAAGTTTTCGTCTTGTTCTTAACCCTGTGGCTGCTCTCCTTGTTGAAGCTTCTAAATGTCGGAAGACTCCTCTTCACCCAGAAGGGCATTTACTTGGTCGAGCACGCCCTGAGCACCTCCCCTTTTGTGAGGAACAGGTACCCCCCTGTTAACCACGACGTTGGGTATGAAGTTAACTGCTCGGGTATCTATGAGCAGGAGCCTTTGGAAATTGGCAAGACTCTGGAGATAAGAAGAAAAGACATTGTTGACCTGGATGATGGCGATGTTGTGGCGATGACCAGCAACTGTGACATTTATCTGACCCTAAGGAGGTACCATGAAAAGCTTGTTTCAAAGGAGGAGAAAAGCTTCCCAATAGCCTATTCTTTGGTTGTTCACAAAGATGCAATTATGGTTGAAAGGCTAATCCATGCTCTGTACAACCAGCACAACATCTACTGCATCCATTATGACCAGAAGTCATCTGACACCTTCAAAGTCGCCATGAACAATTTAGCGAAGTGCTTCCCCAACATTTTCATTGCTTCCAAGTTAGAGACTGTGCAGTATGCCCACATTTCCAGACTCCAAGCTGATTTAAATTGCTTGTCAGACCTTCTCAAGTCTTCAGTTCAGTGGAAATATGTTATCAACCTGTGTGGGCAAGACTTCCCTTTGAAGTCAAACTTTGAATTAGTGTCAGAGCTGAAGAAACTCAATGGAGCGAATATGTTAGAGACGGTGAAACCCCCTGGCAGTAAGATGGAAAGATTCACTTATCACCACGAACTCAGACAGGTGCCTTACGAATATGTGAAGCTGCCAGTAAGGACCAACATCTCCAAAGCAGCCCCCCCTCATAACATCGAGGTATTTGTTGGCAGTGCTTATTTTGTTTTAAGTCGAGCATTTGTTAAATATGTTTTCAACAACTCCCTCGTTAAAGACTTTTTGGCCTGGTCTGAAGATACATACTCGCCTGATGAGCATTTTTGGGCTACCTTAATTCGGGTACCAGGAATACCTGGGGAGATTTCTCGGTCAGCCCAGGATGTGTCTGACCTACAGAGTAAGACTCGCCTGGTCAAGTGGAATTATCACGAAGGCCTTTTCTACCCCAGTTGCACTGGCGCTCACCGCCGAAGTGTATGTATCTATGGAGCAGCGGAATTGAGGTGGCTTATCAAAGATGGACATTGGTTTGCTAATAAATTTGATTCTAAGGTGGACCCTGTCCTGATTAAGTGCTTGGCAGAAAAGCTGGAAGAACAACAGAGAGAGTGGATCACTTTGTCTTCAGAAAAGTTATTTATGGATAAAAATCCCACAATCTCGTCGTGATGAAATCATGATGGAAACAAGTGTCTGACAAATGGAGTTAATGTGGAGTTATTCACTATACCATGCCCAGGACCACCTGAGCTTAACCTTCTCATAGCTTGAAAGGTATCTAAAATTCCATGCACAGGGAAGGTGACTTAGCCTTTGGTGACAATCAGCCTGCAGTTGGTTTAGTACTTTGGTTTGTTTCTGCCTGTAATTTCACTGAGCTAAATCAGAGATCTTAAACCTGTCATCAAATATTTATTGAGCTCCTACTGTAGGCTGGGCACTTTTTTAGAAATGTGTAGCAATTAAATCCAAGGTTTAATGAGTTTTACAGTGCCCTCAGGGACTGTGTCTTACTTACCCTGCTCGTGCAGCAACCTTAATACCCTAAGTTCTCCACATAACAACCTGCTGAGGAAGTCTTGGAGTGTGTAGTGATCACCCATATGAACCACCCGTTTCAGACTAGCATTTAAGTACAGCGACCAACACTCCACCTGTCTCATAATTCAACTCACTCGGCTTTTTCTAGCCATTAGAATATTAGAAGGAGAGACTTCACTCTCTCAGAAGAGCTTAAAGAATTGCCCAGTTTCCTGCTTGGCCAAGCATAATTTACCTTGTGGCGCCCACTCACTCAGTTCAGGGTCAGGAGACTGGGCGTGGCATTCACAGCGTCTGACTGCTGGGGAGGTGGTTGGGGTAAGTAGGGGGATTGAGACACATGGGGCTTGAAGAGGAACAAAGGGATTTCTATGACTTTTGCATCATGTTACACAACGGTGTCATGCTGGCCTCCTTTTTAATTCAACTGTTTCTTTAAAGCACATTTACTGATTAAAAATGAGAGCTGATTAATACTGAGAGTGCTATATTCCAGAACACTGAACCTAAGTCTTCCAGTTCATAGATTACCATTATGTGTAAGTTTCTTTACAATGGAATTAGTATAATTTTGTTTTATGGAACTACCAAACTGAGAGTCACTGAATTTTCTTGAAAAGGCTATATGAAATATGACAGCTTTCTAAATTAATTATTACGGTCGCTTTAAAACAATTTCTTCTCCAGCAACTGTCCAAGTAGAACCCAGACTTAAAGTTATGAAAGTGTGTTGCATTCTTCTTAGCTTAGATCCAAAGAGAAAAACCTAATTTTCCTAAGAACATAGCCAGAATATTCATTAAAAATATTTTGTAAAAGCTACACCTTAGACAACCACCAAATGAGTCAAATATACATCTATTGTAGTGTGACTGTATGGTGCTGGAGGTGGAATGGGGCAGGAGCAGAGTTCTGAGCACAGGATATAACATCTTTACGTCTCTTGGGAAATCATGGAACTCGTAAAAATTTCTCTGTGATCTTATGCTTCAGTGTCAGCCTCAGGAACTATATAAAGATGTAGTGATCAAGGCCAGCGTGAGACTGTTCGGAAGATTGAAGTATTTAAGTACCTTTTAAAATATCTGTGTTCTAAATGTCTGTGAAATGAACTTTGCTTGTTTTAAAGTTCATAATGCTAACTGCCAGGTGGCACCATTCTCTTCCCCCCTTATCTTGAACTCATTTTTCTTCCTTTCTTTTCCCTACCCCTTCAAATTACTTTATTCTTCAGAAAACAACGATTACCAAGGCCCTGTTCTTAAAAATAAGTAACTGTTGGGTAGCCCTGAGTTCTGCAGAACATCCCTACCAGGTCATTAGTGTGTGTGACCCTGACAAGCTGTCACTTTGGGCTCGATGAGCCTTTCCTGGTTTTTGAAGTGAGCGCTTGGTTGCCTATCCTGGCTTCTTCACAAGTTTGGTTTTTTGGGTGTGTTTTTTTGGCGAAAATAAATTGAAATAGTATATGAAGTGGTATGGGTTATTATTATTATTGACATTATTACAGATGTCCCCCAATTTGCCCCCCTTTGCCCACCCCCACACCTCTGGCCATCACCACGCTGGTGTCTGTGTCCATGGGTTATGCATATCTGTTCTTTGGCTAATCTCTTCACCTTTCATCCAGTTCCTCCTCTCCCTCCCCTCTGACCTCTGTCAATTCGTTCCGTGCATCCATGCCTCTGGTTCTGTTTTGTTCATGAGTTTATTAGATTCTACATATAAGTTAGATCATATGGTATTTGTCTTTCTCCATCTGGAAATACCATATAATCTTACTTATTATTTCGCTTAGCATAATAATCTCCAGGCATGTCCATGCTGTCTCAAAGGGTAAGAGATCCTTCCTTTTTACAGCTGCATAGTATTCCGTGGTGGAAATGTAGCACAGCTTTTAATCCACTCGTCTACCAATGGGCACCTGGGCTCTTTCCAGATCTTGGCTATTGTAAATAATGCTATGAAGTGTTTTGAATGTAGGGGCAAACTATTGAAATGTCTAAGGACAGTCTTACAAAAAGCCCAACATAGATCCAACACCATTGTGAGACTTAACCGTTTACCTTTTCTGAAACCTTTGAGATATAAAAAGAAGCCACAGTTGCAGGGGCAACTTCTGTAACCAAACCCAGATCTGAAGAAATTCGTCACCCCATGATATGGGGGTTCTTTCTGAGCCAATAGGATCAGCAAGTTGGTTTTGTGGTTTAGACTGGGAAGAGAGGTTGAAGTACATTTTCTATCATTCAGGTTTAAATACACAAGGTCCTGATGAAATCTTGGTTTTTATGCCTTTGGTCACCAGAATAATTGCAAATGCTGAAAAATAAATGTTGACCTCCTGGTCCAGTGTCTTACCTCTAATGAGGAATAATTCAGTTTCTTGTTTATTGGGAAATTTGCCGGTTATTAATCAGTCCCATTCCATGTTCAAATGAAACTTGGAACCGTGAAGAGGTGGCAGTGCCTTCTTTTGTTTCTCAGGACATGTTTCTCGGGATTCAACACCTAACCTTGCAGGAAGCAGATCAGAACATGCTCTCGCCTGGGGGATCCTGCAGAATCCCTGCACACCTTCCAACCTGATCCTTCCCAAAAGCTTTCAGCATGATTCCCCCTGGTCTGGAGAATGTTCTGCAGTCTGTGTTTTATAATTATTCTTTGCATAGTATTTATTGAATCTAGACTCTAAGTTATTTGGTGATGAGACCAGGACCTTGGAGTTTGTAAATTGTATCAGATAATATTAATAATGAAAGAGCTACCAAAACACATATATTATGTGAGCAAGCTACTGTAATATTATAATAAAGGCCCATGTTGCTGCTGTTATTAATGTTTTGGTTATTTTAAGTGATATATTTATATAAATGTTTAAATCTGTACAGTTAAATCTGAAGATTTCTCTTGCCTTCCAGAATGTGACTTTTATTTATAGTCAATGAAATGGCAATATTTGGGAATGTAAAATGAATGTACCCTATGTATATTACAGCTGTTTTTGTTGTTGTTGATGATGATCGAATGAGAGTTTTGATTTTTAAAAATATTTTTATCAACTGATCTCTAAGTCTCCCTACCATGTGTGTTACCATTTTCAAAAGACATATTTCCCATTATATGAATTTTAAATAGATTGGTATTGCATTTTGTATTTGCTGCTACCAGATGTTATTTCTTCAGTATTGTAAAATAAAATGTGCTCCAAACACCAAACCCCTGGAATGTATGATGTTTCCTTTCTCTGGTTGTGCTGATTCCCCACAAGCACTCTTGGTTTATGAGACTTGCCCAGGATGTGAAGAGCACAGTCAGTTTCACTTCAGAGAGGAAGAAAGTTAGTGTGTACTACATACAGAATGTAGGCCACAAACATGAACTGTTTAACTTGTCAAAGTCTCAAAGGATCTTCCAGGATTCCCCAGTCTTCGCCCTCCTCCAGGTTGGTTTCTCCTCTAAGATTAATTATCTAGATACTCTCGTTTGCATCCTTACTTTATGGTAGTTCTTAATAGGGCAGGTTGAGCTCTTTATCTCATGTCCCTCAATCCCTGGAAAATCCAGACTTTCTGCATCAAGACTCCTGCCAGGTTCTAAGCCCTGTGGACATGAGGACCCTGGCTCCACCAGTGTCCTCAGGCCTGGTTGGTGAGTAATTCCTCATGAGCTTCCCTCTGTCCTGGATAACATGACCTTTACCAGCTCTACTAAACTGAGAAATATTTGACATCGCTGATCCCCACACCCCTGCCCTCACTCTGAAAATCTCCTGATCTGTTTTCTATTTTCACCCTTTCTAAACTCATGACAGCCACCAGCCTCCCTAGCTGGCAAGGAGTATGCATGTCACGCTCATAAATTACAGTCCATGTCCAGGAATAAGCCCACTGTAGGAATCTTCAACAGAAAGAAATTAATACCTACTCTTAACCTAAGGTTAGTTTTAGCTCTTGCCAAGCTGGACAACCATACATACCACAGTTATCTCACAGAGGAACTTAGACTTTTTTTGGTTGGGGGAGGGGGAGTAGGTCTATACACCATCATATTAAAGACCCATCGTCTGGAGTTTCATATTTTTAAAACTTCCTTTGGTGTCTACAAAGCTACGTCTAAAGTAGGACTACTGGCTTCTAGTTTCATGAAACTGATGATGGAGAAACCCTGGCGAGAGAGTAGATGACTGCAAATTTATACCTATTACTGGCAAGTATTCCTATGATGATGCGTAACAACCAGCTTGAGCTTCGCTTCAGAGAGAGCGTCAGTGGCTGAACTTATGGGGGGGGCGTGTAAAAACCACAGGGAGACTACTCGCCTGAACTCGGGTATGGTCTTCACGCAGAGCAGCGCCGTCCTTCCTGCCTGGGAGCACCTTGCGCTGAGTCATGCAGACAACAAACAGAATCTGAGAAAAATCTTGGCTGGTGATCTGGGTAAGTTTATTTTACTTTTTTTTGTTATTGCCATTGTTTCTCATAGAACAATAAAGGAAATTTAAACAGAAACGCTTTGTATTCATAATTCTAACATCCTGACAAAAACATTATAGTTCTCTGACTGCTCTTCTAACCATATCCATGTCTATATCCATTTTTTTGTCTCTCTTCCCACGGCCCATATATTTGCAACCACTCTCCCTTGTTGCTACATGGTCTTTATGGCTGTCTGCTGGTCATATCTTAATTCACTCAGTCTTTATTGTAGAACATTTGAATTTTAAGCTACTTAACTTTTTTTTCCTGCTGTAAATAACAATGCTGTGAACACCTTCTCCTTTCCTTGAACAAATTCCTTATGTATTTTCAAGAGAGGATTACAGTCCTGAAGAGAATGCATTTTATTTTATTATTATTTTTTACTGATTGCTTTTCATATATGTTAGAAATCACCCACTCAAAGAACTATATAGGACACTCGGTAGGTGTAAATCAACCACAGCACAGCCTCAACCTATGTGAAATAAATTGTATTTATTCTGAGAAATGGCTGTAATGATTCTCAAAGTGAGCAGAGACCTTTGCCTAAAGCAAGGATATGGCCATTCCTCTAACAGATCAAAGAATGTGTGTTATGTATGATTAGTGATGAGCTCTTTCAGAATAATATTCTCAAAGGTGTAACTGATCACTGACTCCATTCCAGGAAGGATCTAAAGGCTGCTAGTTCCTTCTAGTACCCATTCTCCCTGGCTTCTGTGATTTTATTCTGAACAATATGAGCAGCTATTAATTCCCATCCTTCCTTTCAACTAGGGGTGGCAAAGAGAAAAAGCAGAAGTCATTGGATGGGGCATCTGATAATGCACTGAAAGTGTGGCTTACCTAGCTTGTCTTTCACTCACCTCCCTTGCTTTTTCCCTGGAATGTGTTTGTAATAGCTGGGATTGCAGCAGCCATTTTGAAACCAGGAGGATGCACGTCATATGGTAAGAACAGAGTAAAAATATGACATCTGAACCATCCAAGACTGCCTACTTCCAGTGTTCTTTTATGGGAGATAAAGATTGGCATGTACTTTAAATTACTGTTATCTCAGATTTCTATTACTAACAGTAGAACATAATCCCTAACTTCCATGTTTTTCTAGGACAATGGTTGTCAAACTTCGGTCTGCATCAAAATCACCGAGTGGACTTGTTAACACAGAGATTGCTCCCCTTTCCCCCTACTTTCTCACTAAGTGGGATGGGGTGAGGGAGAGGAGAATTTGCATCTCTAACAAGTTCCCAGGTGAGGCCGATGCTGTTCTGGACCACATTTTAAGAACCACTGTTAGTATATCTTTCCTGAAAAGTATTTCTTCAATGTAAACATTAGGCCAAGTTAGCATTTAAAAAAACACCAAATATTGCAATAAGCATACATACCTTCAGATGGTAAAACACTGCAGTCAGAAGTTCAGAAACACTTTATATGCTCTGCCTTATATGCTCTTTCTACATTGTTGGCTAACTATATTTTCTGAATAATGACTGAAGTTGATACATTTCCATAACTATCAGTTCCCCCTAAACTTCTTTTCAACCAAATTGCTGCCTTATTTGGAACTATTTTATACAATGTAATAAAAACAAATGAATTTTGAAAGTACAGTTAACCTGAAATTACAGTGGTGAAGTCTCAAGTTCAGATCTATGTGTTAATTCTATTAAGCAAAAATGTATGCTGGTGATACAGACTCTGTCTACCCAGGTGGAATTTTTCATGAGCATTTCAATATGAGAGTCCTAAAAATAATTTTTTTTTTAATTGAAATGAATCAGAGAGTCATATCATTCTAACTCTTCACTATTTCAAGCCATTACAGGGATGCCAGTGTGAAATAGATACAGAATTATGTGTCATCTCATAAACACTTCCAAGTTTTTACTTCAACCGTGGGTGGATACTGAAAAAAAATTAGACCAAAAACATTTAACAAATGTATCTGCCTAAGGGGTATTAGTTCCCATTTTTAGGGCCTTTCCAATTATT